TATCACCATCAAAAACACTAGACTTAATGATGAGTGGTTATTTAAAACCAATTTAATCAATCAAAGGGTTCTTCTGATCCCAAAGGACCAGCCACATACGCAGGTCAATATATAATTTAGATCTTACCCAATAATCACACTGTTGCCAATTCTTTAGTATCTAATATCTAAAGGTTTATTTATAAAAGGAAAGAAAGGTGAGAGTTAAAATTGGTTAAAGGAATCAGATACATACAATAATTGCAAAGTTGTTGGATCAGACTTGTAGCCTTATGAGTCAATAGTGTGCCCTTGTTGCCAAGAAGGCTAACGGCATTTTGGGCTGTATAAGTAGGGGCATTGCCAGCAGATCGAGGGACGTGATCATTCCCCTCTATTCAACATTGGTGAGGCCGTATCTGGAGTACAGTGTCCAGTTTTGGGCCCTACAAGAAGGATGTGGAAAAATTAAAAAGAGTCCAGCGGAGGGCAACAAAAATGATTAGGGGGCTGGAGCACATGACTTATGAGGAGAGGCTGAGGGAACTGGGATTGTTTAGTCTGCAGAAGAGAAGAATGAGGGGGGATTTGATAGCTGCTTTCAACTACCTGAAAGGGGGTTCCAAAGAGGATGGATCTAGACTGTTCTCAGTGGTGCCAGATGACAGAACAAGGAGTAATGGTCTCAGGTTGCAGTGGGGGAGGTTTAGCTTGGATATTAGGAAAAACTTTTTCACCAGGAGGGTGGTGAAGCACTGGAATGGGTTATCTAGGAAGGTGGTGGAATCTCCTTCCTTAGAGGTTTTTAAAGACAGGCTGGGATGATTTAGTTGGGAATTGGTCCTGCTTTGAGGAGGGGGTTGGACTAGATGACCTCCTGAAGTCCCTTCCAACCCTGATATTCTATGATTCTATGATAGAATAAACTGCTGGCTTGTTAAGTCTCCGGTTGCTTCCAAATCATTGGAAGGCCTCAGTCCCTTGGTTAGAATGCTCCCATTAGTACAAGTTCATAGTTCAGAGGTTTGAGCAAGAAAGAAGCAAAATGGAGATGTTTCCAGAGCCTTTTGTAGCTTCTGCCAAGTGAAGGGAAACCCATTGTTCTAGTTTGTGAAAAATTACAGGTAACAAGATGGAGTTTGGAATCACATAAGCAAGTCACATGTCCATGTATGCTTCGCTTAATCATAGCAGAGGCCAGTAACCATACTCTAGTTAGAATGTCCTCAGGAAAGTCCATTAAGTGTAGATAGGTGTCTTCCTTGGTCCATTGTAAGTGAAGTGTTCTTTGATGGGCCATTCAACTTGAATAGTTCCTTCACAATGTGCTGACTAAATACCTTGTTGGTGTTACCACAGGAGCAAACACTTGAAATACAGGTACATAGTTAATATTCATAACTTCAGATACAAAAATGATACATGCATACAAATAGGATAATCACATTGAGCAAATCATAAATTTTTAATAGACACCTTACTTGACATACTTTGTACAAGATCTGTTGTAATTATATAACAGTGGCAGCAACAATGATCTACCTGGTCATGTTTTAATCATATAACGTCTCACCCTGTCCTCCAGGAGTTCTCAGAGTTAATAGCTAATGGTCATAATAATTGCTAAGGTTGCTTCAGTTGGTTCCTTAAGTTACCCTAGGATGAATTTCATCAACCCCTGCTAACCTGAATACATCTAACTTATCTAAATATTCTTTAACCTGTTCTTTCCCTATTTTGGCTTGCATTCCTTCCCCTGTGATGTTAATATTAATTGTGTTGAGTATCTGGTTATCATTAACTTTTTTAGTGAAGACTGAAGCGAAATAGGCATTAAACACTTCAGCTTTCTTGATGTCATCCGTTATTACCTCTCTTTCCCCACTAAATAGAGAACCTCCACTCTCCTTCATCTTTCTCTTGCTCCTAATGTGTTTTCAGAACCTTTTCTTATTGCCTTTTATGTCCCTTGCTAACTCTAACTCATTTTGTGCCATAATCTTTCTGATTTTGCTCCTACATGCTTGTGCTATTCTTTTGTACTTCTCCTTAGCAATTTGTCCATGTTTCCACTTTTTGTAGGATTCCTTTAAAGAGCTCCTGGTGGAGCCATATTGGCCGCTTACAATTCTTCCTATCTTTCTCTCACATCAGGATGGTTTGCAGTTGTGCCTTTAATATTGTCTCCGTGAGAAACTGCCAGCTCTCCTGAACTCCTTTTTCCCATAGAGTTTCTTCCCAAAGGACCTTGCCTACCAGTTCTTAAAGTTTGTTAAAGTCTGCTTTTTTGAAGTCCATTGCCCTTATTCTGTTATTCTCACTCAGTAGAATCATGAAATTTATCATTTCATGATCACTTCCCCCAAATTGCTTTCCATAGTCAGATTTGCTACCAATTACTCCCTGTTGGTCAGAATCAAGGGTAAAATGTCTGTCACCCTAGTTATTTCCTCCACTTTCTGGAACAAAAAGTTGTCCTCAGTACATTCCATGAACTTACTGGAAATTGTGTTTTGCCATATTACTTTCTGGCAACAGAATCAAGCCAAACGGTATCGTGGATCAAGAAGTGAATCAATTGGAAGAGTGATGCACGGAAGCCTGAACAGCACTGGTCCACACTAAGCCTTGCTTTAGCAAGTGCTATTAATCTCACTTGCATTAACAGCAAATTCAAACTAATGTTTAAAAACATTGTAAAAAAGGCTTATAATGAATTGTTCGCTAAAAGCTCCAATGGTGCTATACTGGTACTGTTATTTGTGTGGGGACTGGAGCGTTTAGAGGATTGGTAAGGAATATGTAACCATTTGGCCCATTTCAGTCTGTTGCTAGTATTTGAAGCCAATAATGGGTTTTTGTTGCCTACATAGAATCAGTTGGTAGTCGCTGTCCACAAAGACATCCCCACGAGTGACATAACTTTTAATTAAAACTGTACTGAATTAAGAAATTCAGACTTGCCGTCCGTTAACTATGATGTCATCTATAGGATTTATGCTGACAATCTCAGCAGAGAACGTAAGAACAGCCATACTGGGTCAGACCAATGGTCCATCTAGTCCAGTATCCTGTCTTCCAACAGTGGCCAATGCCAGGTGCCCCAGAGGGAATTAACAGAACAGAACAGCAATTATTGAGTGATAATCCCAGCTTCTGTCGTTAACTCCCAGCTTCTGGCAGTTAAAGGCTAAGACGCCCACAGCTTGAGGTTGCATCTCTGACCATCTTGACTAATAACCATTGATGGAACTATCCTCCATGAACTTATCTCATTTTTTTTTGAAGGGATAAATAACACTTCCTTATTCGCTTTCTCCACACCATTCATTATTTTATAGACTTCTATCATATCCCCCTTTAGTCATCTCTTTTGCAAGCTGAATAGTCTGTCTTTTTAATCTTTCCTCATAGGGAAGTTGTTCCATATGCCTAATCACTTTTGTTGCCTTTCTCTGCACTTTTTCCAATTATAATATATCTTTTCTGAGATGGGGTGACTAGAGCTGCACAAAGTATTTAAGGTGTAGGCGTACCATGGATTTATATATTGGCATTATATTTTTTGTCTTATTATTTATCTCTTTCCTAATTGTTCCTACATTGTTAGTTTTTTTTGACTGCTGCTTCACATTGAGTGGATGTTTTCAGAGAACTATCCCCAGTGATTCCAAGATATCTTTTGTGATGGTAACGGCTAATTTAGACCTCATCATTTTGTATGCATACATGGGATTCTGTTTTCCTATGTGCATTACTTTGCACTTATCAACATTGAATTCCATCTGCTATTTTGTTGCCCAGTTGTCCAGTTTTGGAGATCCATTTGTAATTCACCGCAGTCTACTTTGGACTTTACTATCTTGAGTAATTTTGTATCATCTGCAAATTTTCCCACCTCACTGTTTATCCCTTTTTCCAGATCATTTATGAATCTGTTGAACAGCACTGGGCCCAGAACAGATTCCTTGGGGACATTGGTGTTTAGGGGTCTTAAGATTTAGGGATTGATTTGATGTGAAACGTGTACTACCCAGAACACCTAGAGGTGAGACCTCCAGCTCAGGCTGAGGCATACTAATGGGGCAAGGCAAGAAAGCGTGAGTTGGACCTGTTCTATAATTAAATAAAAGACTTCAGTTCAAATGTCTGAGTAGTGAGCACTACAGACCTGATATCCCTCTCACACCAGTGAGAAACAGGAGTAATTACAGTGAACCAAATGTAAAATAGCATAGGTGAGAGAAGCATCAGACCTTAAATTCCTTAAACAGATTTTTAAAAGTATTATTTCCTGGACTTAAAGTTGTTGTAGTAAAAAAATAAAATAAAAATAAAGATACGGTACGACCTCAGTTTTATGAACATCAATCTTAGGACACTTTTCTTGATGGGGGTAGGGGAGAAGTCATATGACTAAAGTGATGTCAGTGAAGAATAGGTTGACATCTTTTCACATTCTGATATCTTCAGTGCATCGGGAATTGCTTTGCAGGGGTTTGAAGGGCAAGAAGTAATCAATGCAGTGCACCATGCTGCAATTTATGCACTATACCTGCTGTAATTTTGAGATGTTCAGTTTTATGAATTTTTTTATTTAATTAACTCAATCCCCAAATAGCTGATAAAATAGGGATTCTCCTATGTTTGATGAAGATTTCATGAATATTGGTCATACAATTGTGGGTCTAGGCTAGCCCATGAAAAATACCGTTTTGTAACAGTTTCTTCTGATTCTATTTTCTGTTTAAAATTATAAAAACGTGTTCATTTTACAGGCCTGTATTCTATTTAATGTGATATATTAAGTTTATAATATTTAAAATAACAGTTAAACTTCTATAAATTACCGTTACAAAATTGTAAGATTCTCATTGCAAACAACACTTTGAATGGGTCATAAAAATAGGGCCTGGGCCTGAGCCAGAGCCCATTGAAGTCATGGGAAAGTGAAAGAAGTGGACTCTGGATCAGGCCATAAGTTAAGTAAAAAATCCAAACAACAAAGAACCTTTTAGCCATTTCAAAGTTAGAGATCATGATTTGTATTTCTATGTGCTGATTAGCAAACACATATGAAGGATACAGGACTCGTTAGTAATTTACAGTAAAATTAAATTTGTATCAATAATATTTATTCTCTCTTTATAAGCTGCCTATCACCTGTGTTTGCTGAAACTCAATGAAGAACATTAATGCCACAAATGCTGATTTGCCTAGTTTTGGCTTTCTAAACAATCACCTTGGGGCCCAAACCTACACCCACTTAGTGAGCAGTTCCACCATGATGATAATTTTATTTTTGCTATAAGAAGGATTTCTGTGGCCTACCCTTTTATGTTATAGTAATACTTACATACTTTCCATTTCAGACCTTTTCTCAGATATATAAATATGTAAAATTAAACAAAAACCAAGTCCTAGATAGGTCTGGATCCTGGAACACTACAGGGGCAGATGTTCAGAGGTGCTGAACACCCACAGGCCCTATTATAAATCAGGTTCACTGAGTCCCACTAGGGCTACTTGTGATTACACTCCACACCTTTTTATGCCTGTAGAGGGATCTGATGTGGAAAGTGTTTTATAGATAGGTGTTAATTTTATGTGAATGTGTATGCCGTAAAATCCCCTTATAGGACAAAATGACTACATTATAACTGGCTGTAGAGTTTTCACTAACTATGCATTGAAACCATTTGGAACTATCATTCTGTTTCCTTATAAACAGTTTCATTTATATTTGAATTCACTACACAGCAACATTATATTTATGTCTGCCTATATGTATCAATATACAGAGATAAATACATAAGACATTCATTTTGTGTATTGGCAGGGTATATTTTTCCCTTAGTTATTCAGGAAAAATGCATTGTCTAGTAATTCCATTTGGTTATATAACCCAAGACGCTTTTTGATAAAAATTGAGATCAGATGCTGAGGCCGTTGCTGATATTCTACTAGAACTTCATGGGGTGCCTTAATCTGGTCACCTTCGAGTCGGTTAAGGAGTGCCACACAGACAACAGCAGCTATAAGAAAAACAAAAACGCCCTTTTAAGTAACTTATGATATACCAAAATATGCACGGTATTTGCTACAGTAAAGGATTATATTCCTAGCACACATAGATAATGCAGGTTTATCGGGGGAGGGGTTAAATGAAGTGCTCAATATACCTCCCTGGGAAGGTGTAAGCTCCACTTCCTGGAACTTACAGGGGCAGCTGTACTGGAGAAGCAGAGGCAGTGTCATCATAATTACCCCCCCTTTGCAGGTCTGCAGCTGCAATCTTTAAGCTTTATCCAGAGCTCCTTAGGAGCTCAATTGGCAGAGGTTGCCTGAAAATTCATTCATCACATGCACTGAAAATATGCCCCACAATAAGTTAGCAAGAGACAAGTGATCTTTGCAGCCAGTAAAAGAAAACCAGAGACACGGGCATAGCCAGGAAACTATTCAGAGCTGGGCTGAATGAAATTTTGGTTTTGCCAAGACAGTTAATTGTTTTTTCTATGCCCTGCACTTCCAAACAAGGAGTTTCAGATAAACATTTTATGAAGCCACTGGATTTGTGTTAATATACTTTTTAATGAAAGAAGCTTAGAATACATTTTTAGTTTTCACATTGTATAAATCCCAGAGCTGACCAAATCCATATGTAGATAAAATTAGGAAGCGTGAAGGAGTATGAGAACAAACGTGAAAAGGAAATGGCCTGTGACAAGAAATCTTACCTTTTAGACCACACAGTCCACATATAGCAGCAAATACAGTTGACTCCATTTCAATATTTCTTACACCAGCATCATAAGCTCTCTTTAAGTACTCCAACTTCTTTTCATGGGAAAAAGAACACAATGCTCCATCTAATCGTCCTTGACCTGGAAAGAAAAAAACCTGTGACTGCTCATCCTTCTATACAATATGGGGTTTACAGTCATAGTAAAACTGGCTGCAGTCTCAGGCAGTTTCTCTCAAAGTGCAGAATTTGTCTAAATTCTCCTTAAAACTGCATTAAATTGTTATTTTAATGGGGCTCATTAAATTATTTCTTATTCCATTTGCTATGTATTTTTAAAGCCAATCTGCTATGACAAAATACAGCTGAGTTCACTATAGAAGTTTTAACAAAACCGAGACCAAAAAAACACAGGTGCATAGAGATATGGTGGCAGATTCTCAGCTGTGTAAGTTGGCATAGCTCTGTGAGGCTCTGCAGATGAAATCTACAACATACCAAGTTGCTTTAGAAAACGATTAACAAATTTAGGTACACATGCCCCTTCCATTATGTGGAGAAAATGGAGATGGAAAAGACCTTTTAATCTTAATTTTAACTCCTTTTTTTGAAGGGAGATGGTTAATTATAGGAATCAAACTGGTTTAAGAGAATTTTTTCTTGACAACTTTGTTTTCTACCAGGGGTTCACACCTCTGTTCTCACTTTTCCAAATCTCTTAGGGCTTGGCTACACTTGCAAGTTAGAGCGCATTAAAGCAGCCCTAGACACCCTAACTCCCAATGTGTCCACACTGCCAAGTCACATAGAGCGCCTGGACTCTGCAGCTGGAGCACTCCTGGTAATCCACCTCCACGAGAAGCATAAAGCTTGCTGTGCCCCAGCTGAAACGCCTAGGCGTCAGTGTGAACGAGGTGTTGCATTACTGTGCTGTGATTGGCCTCCAGAAACATCCCATAATCCCCTGAAGTCAAGTGGCCACTTTTCTCATTGTTTTGAAAGCTCTGTTTCTGACAGCTGGCATGCTTATCTGCTCCGGGACAAAGCAAGCCATTACTGTGGAATGCTGCTGTTGTGAGTGTGTGTGAGAGAGGGGGGAAGGGTGGTCTGCTGCTGTCTGAACTTACAAGACAGCATGCTGACATGCTCACAGCCCCCCAAAACACACTCCCTGTCACAATCCACCCCTCCCATTTGAAAAGCACGTTGCAGCTACTTGCACCCTGGGATAGCTACCACAATGCACTGCTCTCTGTGGTGTTGCAAGAGCTGCTAATGTGGCCACGCCAGTGCGCTTGCAGCTGACAGTGTAAATACAAGGCAGCGTTTTCCCTGTGTGGTCTCCGAAGGCTGGTTTAACTCCCAACGCTCTACATCTGCAAGTGTAGCCGTGCCCTCAGACTCAGGATCCATTTAGAAAAACAATTAACTCTCACTCATAATCTCAGATATTCTAAGGGCCCAATTCTTGGATCTGGCCAAGCTGCCCCCTTCACTGGATGCAGGACCTGAGGGCAAGTGAGCAAAGATGCTCTTGCACTGCTCTGTCCCCGGGGCTGCCGAGGGCAGTCGCGTCTTCCCACATAATGCAGCACTTAGGTTAGGAAATGGCCTTCAAAGCGATCTATAAGGACTGCATTCCTGGTGGCTGTAACATTAGCAAAGAAAGCGGGTGAGATCCATACTGCAAAACCGAGCCCTTCTTCAACAGTGTGCTGTAAGGATAGGTGACCTATGGGATGATTCAGTTTACTTGACTCAATCTATCAGTCTATCACTGTTGGTCCCTAATCTTCCTAATTTAGCAGGTGAGGCTAGATAGTTATCTTCAAAATGTTCTTAGTTACTGTTGAGAAAGAACAAAGCCTTTTTGTAAATCCCATAGATTATTTGTAGCAGATGGAGACCAGTCCAGAGGGCTGATAAATTTTGATTAGAAAATAAGTGAATCATTCATTGCGTTCAAGCCTGCTGTGACTTTACATATGTCTTTAATTGAGGTTTTAGGCTTATCTTTACTTAAAACTGTACAGCTGTGCCGCTGCAGCTCTAGTGCTTTAGCGTAGACACCCCCAGCACCGATCAGATGGATTCTCCCGTCAGTGTCGGTAATCCATCTCCCCAGGAGGCAGTAGCCAGGTCGAAGGAAGAATTCTTCCATTGACCTAGCACTTTCTACATGGGGACTTAGGTTGGTCTAACTCCACCATTCAGGGTTGTAGATTTTTCACATCCCTGAGCAACGTAGTTATGACGAGCAAATTTTCTACTGCAGACCAGGTCTCAGAACACTTTCTAGTAGATCTGAAACAGTCTCTACACAATTGCTTAGAAAAGTCTCTGTAACAGAGATGTGTAAGGTTACTACATGGAGCTCAATTCACACATCTTTCCAGCAGCATTCTCTTTGAGTTAGCTTGTAGGTCTGATGTCCAATGAGGAAGAGTAGTCTTGTAATCATTAACTCAGTTAATACTCCTTTAGTGGGGTGGGGGTGGGTTTGTTATCATTAGCTAATCGCCAAATGGGGCAATTATCAAAGGGCAAAAAAAGGCTGCTTATTAGCTACTGGATCCATATTGCCCAGCCACCTTCCCTGCTTCTGAGTCTTTAGATGATTTTTTGACTAAACGGGAAAAGAATTGATTTGGGATAGACCGGGTTGAAGCACTTTATATGCCTTTGGGTCGGAAAGTCTGGATCTGTGCAGAAGCATGTGGACAACAGTGGACACAATTCATCTCGCGGGTTCTGGCTGTAAACTGAGGGCACATGCACATTTCTACAAGTGTGGCTGTATTCAGGCAATTGACTGATAGAACTACAGCTCCTGGAAAGTGACCTGTCTTGCTAACATCACAGATTTGTTTTTACTAGTATTTTGGAATTTAATTTTGATTTTCAAAGAATGAACCTCTTCTCACTTGTGCTTATGTTTCTCACTTAGATGTTATGTCCTCGGCTCAGGCAAATGTACACCTAAAACTTTACTACACTGGACAAACCTTTTAATATCCTTGTTGTTCCTACTGTTAATCCTCTCAAATGGCTTTTTATTTAAGTAAAACATGGCCTTGAGAAACACACAGATGGCTGCGTTTGCAAGCAGATCCAAAGGTTTATAAATAGTCCTCCAATTATTAATTCTCCATTTATTCTGTTTCATCCACTTTGCAATCAGCATTTAATTTTGTAAAGGAAACCGTTCCAAGATATTGCCGAGGATCTAAGGTTTATTTACACAAATGCCACACACTTACTGACATTTTTCTTCTGTTAGGTAATTCTGAAGCTATAATCCTGTCATAGGAAGTAACTTAGTGTAACCCATCTGTTAAAATTATGTTAAGATTATAGACAAGGGGCTATTTACTTTAGCTGCTTAATGTTATGTGCCTATTGCTTTCAAAGATTCACTGAGTATATGCTGGTTTCGGTGGCTCAGTAGGGCTGAGGGACAGCAGGAAGTGCTATCCAGGGAATCCTATACTTTCCTAAGGGAGTGAGTGCTGTCCAGAATGAATTGTAATGCTTGATTCACTGCCATGGTTATAATAATATTTTCTTTGCAGATGTGATGTTGTTACAAAATTTGACTAAGTGGCAGATGCAAATAGAGACCAATTACACTATGGTTAATGGTTGTGCTAATTGGTGTGACATATTATGAAAGTAGTTCTATTTCTGACCTGTAAACAAGTCTCTAAAATATATGGTGGATCAAATCCTAAAGTCCTTCCTTGCGTTTTACTCAGCACTCACTCAGGCAACTCTCCTGCTGACTGCACTGGTCATTTTGCCTGAGCAAGGGTTTCAGGATCTGGTCTTATGTTTGAAAAAGAAAATGAATAGAAAATTAGAGATACCCCTCACCTTCATAAAAATCATAAGTGCACATAGTATGCCCAATAAGTGTTGGAAAGTAATGAATCTCTTTGCTGCAGTTCAGTAGCTCCTCAACAAGGTCCTTATCAAGTTCAGTGCTTCGTACAACTATATTATCCAGTATCACCTGCTCAAACCGAGCCTTAAAAAATGAATCCACTGCGATATCTGTGATTACAACAGTTCCAGGGTCAATGCCTGCAGAAGTGGGGATTGGGGATAGGTTAGTGCTACGTAATATTTATAATTTAGATTATAACCTAATTTATTACAGTAATATCTTAATTAATATGAATATTTATCAGCAAACTATATATATGAGAGAACCATTCAAATACATACAAAGTAAAACTCAGTAAGTGCACATATATGGATATGAAGGCTTGCAAAGGGAATATGTTGGGTAAAGGGTATTTATTTCTTCTGACACATAGGTGGGGCAAGGAAAGTTCATGTGTAGCTATTGGTTTGTATGTATGATTTGTCTATGTTTTAATGAATATTTGCTTAGGGTGAAAAGATAGGCATATTTATTTTGATTTCTAAGCCTCCCCTGCCCTCCCCCCCAAAAACTGTGCATCTTAGATCCTGTACTCCTAAAAGGTAAAGGAGATTCTCAGTTAGCTAATTCACTAGGGGCTGTGGGCGTTTTGAGCAGAAGATTAGCTTTCTGTCCCACTAATGCCATGATGTTCCAAATGACCTTCTACGCAGGTGCAGCAGAGCGACAAATGTGAAGTCCTAAAGTGTCCATGGAGTGGTTAAAATACTTTATTGTGCTCCTCAATTTGGGTTTAATCCTGAAGGGTTTATGCAGTCAAAGCTCTCATTGGAGGAAATGGGAGTTTTGCCTGCATCCAGACTGAATGATCAGGCCTGCTTTATTTCCATTACATAGTTATTCCAATTCCTCTCTGAGAGTTAATCTAAATTTATATTTTCTGAACTTCAAGTTAATGTGGTCATTAATATTGACTGAACACTTCCATTATAAGAGAGAGATTTCTTAGTCCCATTCCTTGCCTATCTTTTCCATTCATTCTTAGACTGTAAGTTCTCTGGGAACTGTCTCTCCATTCATGTTTGTATAGCACCCCGCACAATGGGGCCCCAATCCTGATTAGGACTTATGGGCGTGCCGTACAAAACCAATTGATTATACTTATTATTATTAACTGAGTGAAAGATGTTCTATTAGGGCTGAAACTTTCCGTGCATGGTATCAGCTTATGGGTGAGTATTTTGGGAAATAAGAGTAAACTTCTGTCAGCTGGTTTGGGTCTGGAAAAAGTATTATTCAGATGTATTAGATTTCAAGATACCATGTATTATGAAAATGTATGTTTCTGCTAAACCAGCCATTAGAAGTTTGATATTTGTTGACTTGAAATAAAATCTCATGTTTTGTTTGATATTTGAAGACCTGAAAAAAATAAAAAATATGAAAAGCTCCTAATAACTTGATCTATTACTTAGCTGTGTTTTATTAAATGTCCTTTCCATCTGGCAGTAGTAAAGCTGGTAGCTTACCTAAGCCCCCAGAAGTACCGATGCGTATAATAGTAACATCACAGCATTTTGCATGGTGTAGTAATTTGATTAGTTCATGAAGCATAATAGAAATGGAAGGAACACCCATCCCGTGCTATTGAGAGAAAAGAAAATGAAAGCATCATTAATCATCATTTTTGTTCAAGCTGATACATATTTATAAAATTACTTCAGAATATTACTATATAGCCAGAGCTATCCTGTTCCCACTGATGTCAATGGGATATTTATGTGGGAAAAGCATCGGACTCTGAATCACACCTTCATGGATTGGGGCATCCATGTGAGGGGCCAGCTTCTCTGAACTACTCTCTCTGATCCCACCTGACAGCATGGCACCAGGTGAAGTTGTACTGATGATGGTTCTCTGTGTGCACCTACTGTGCTCCCTCTTACGGAGTTGGCAGCACAGAGATGGAGCCCAGAGGAATGAATGGTGTCAGGTTAAGCATTAGTTCCCACAGGTGTTTTTCTCCAGGTATATTAGGGAATGATGCCATATAGAAAGCTCTTTGGAGCAGGGACTGTCTCTTGTTCTGTCATGCTTGGGAGGAGCTCCCTGTAAACATCTGCAAAGCTACCTCATTATCCACCTTCAGACCCCTCCTCAAAACTCTCCTACAAAAACATGACAATGGTTAGGCTGCTGGTGTGCTGAGACCACTGCCTAGTATGGTGACCAACATTGTCTCATTGTTTCCTTTCACTCCCCTGTCTGTGTCCATCTGTTGTCTCTTGTCTTATTCTGAGATTGTAAGCTGGTTGCGGCAGGGACCGTCTTCCTGTGCTGTGTTTGTATCTAGCACAGTGGGGTCCTGGTCCATGACTAGAGCTCCTAGGTGCTATAGCAAGACAAAAAATCAGTAGTAAATATAATAATATGTTTGTGAAGTGCCAGGCACAACAGGGCCCCAATATCAGTAGGGGTCCCTAGGTGCTATTATAATGCAAATAATAAGAATGATTATTGTAATAATGGAGAGGCTACGACTCACCCGGAATTGCTGTCACCCTATGGAGCCCCAAACGCATCACAGGTCCAGTTTCTTATATACCCTGTAGCTGCTTTATACTGCACTGGCAATACACAGTATCCCTGCAGCCAGCATAGCTGGCAATGGCAAGATCACCTTGGGTGTAGGCGCAGTGTTGCAGGCCCTATATCACACCCAAACAGTCAATCACTTTACAACTCAAGAGTCCAAAGGAGCAAGGCCCTGCAGGTTCTCAAACGGGGTGGTGGTTGGAGAAGGCTCTGCCTGAGGGCCTTACCTGCTCTTTGGTCTCTTTTCTGGCTCATTCTTCTGTCTGACTTCCTGGAAAAGAGTTCATTTCTCCTGCAGCTTGTCTACCACCCTTTGCCTGGGTTTCTGAGCTCTTTTTAACCCATTCCTTCAGTCCGTGCATGCTCAGCAGGTCTGGAGGGGCGGGGCTAGCTGGGTCCAATATTGCCTTTTAAACCCTTTGGGTCCAGTGTGGTGTTTGTACTCCCCATCACACAGTTCCTGTGGCCATTGGCAACCATTATAATTTAGAGCATGATTTAGGCTGCTCCAAGTTACACCACGGGAACAAGATCAACCTACAGCTCTCCTGGAATAGCTATCCTGAGCTGCACTGTGCATTCTTCCGCTGCAGCCAAGGATGTAGGTCACGGGACACACAGGAGAGGTGTCTGTATTGTGGGAAAGAGTCTGCTGCTTTGGCTCACCTTGCCTTTCTGGGTACGTCTACACTAAAAAAAAGCCAAACAAACAAACAACATACAACCTCCCTCCCCCCCCACACACACAACCCCAAAACGTGCAGTGGCAAGTCTCAGAGCCTGGGTTCTCTGAGTTGGGGGGGGATAAAAATAGCAGCTCCTCCCCCTCTCTGGATTTCAGAGCCTGGGCTTCAGCCTGAGCCTGAATGTCTACATTGCTATTTTTAGTCCTGTAGTGCAAGCCCAAGTCAATCAACCTGGGCTCTGAGATATGCTACCATAGGTCTTTTTTGCAGTTTCCTACTATTTTCATCCCCTTTGCCTAAAGTCAGTACAGCGAGAATGTCCTTTCCCTAAATCTGTCTTGTCAGTAAATCAGTTCTGCTTTCAAAAACCCAGAGGCAGGTGTTTTCAAATGGGTAGGATTTATTTTGGCCCAATGGGAACATCATTGGTTCTATCATTTCTTTTTTCCATTTGCAGTGTGTCCCATCTCTCTCTCTGTTATAGGAAGATGGTTTTATTGAGTTTTATTGCATTTTATGTGTTAACATATTTTGTGTTCTTATTATTCTTGTACAGCTGCCTGAGTTCCTTGACAGTGCATTAAAAAAAATATTTTGATAAGAATAGCCAAGGCAGAAATCTCATAAATACCTCTAGTATTTCTGAGCCTGTTTGCATCTTGCTAAAACATGACATCAGCAACAACTCATAACAAATCATCTAATGGGGCATTGGCCAGAAATTTTATCCTACTTACCATCAGAATCATACAGTGTTCAACGTACATTGAAAAGTTGATCCTGACCTAGCCTTCATTAATTGGCTGGTTTCTTGATGCCTGAAAGATATCAGTCAACTAATGATGTCTAGGTCAGGAGATATAAAACAAAAACAAATAAGAATTTGTTTTTAGAATTGACAAGTTGTGCACACAGGTAGCCTCTGAAACTGTGAAGTTATTACTGTTCTTTTGTCTTCTCTTCTCTTTACTTCCTATTGCTTGGCTTAGTCATGTGCTACAACGTGTCTTAGGCCTTGTCCACACAGACTTCTATTGGTTTAACGAACAGTGTGTTTTAAAACTAATTTAGCTAAAATAGTACAAGTTTGTGTGTAGCCAAGGCCTTATATTAGGATTTATCCTGATAGTGTCACAGTTGTCACTGAATTTTAGACTGATTGAGCAATAATAAAAATGTCATTATTTCCTCTTTTGTTTTTCCAAGAGCCATGTCTTTTCTGTGTGTGCTTTTTAGGCTCCAGTCCTGCAAACACAAGTGTGTAACTTCAGTCAGGCGAGTGGTCTCCTTGACTTCTCATGTGAGTAAAGTTAGGACTACTCAGATGAGTAAAATGACATATGTAGGTGATTGCAAGATTAAGATTTTATACCATGCCAAAAGAATTGGTGACATTTAAAGAATAATAACAAAATAAGATTGCTACCATAAGGCTTTTAGGGAATGGTTGTAATATTTTCAACTATATTTCATAGTTTGGGCATGGTGTGAAGTGATCTTACCTCTTGAACTTTCAGATTGCTAAACTGAGCAAAATGTGCCCTCTTTCTGTTGTAAGACAGGGACCTTGCAAACTGAATATACAGGATGCCAAGAAATATGACATGACTCAAACATAAGAATCTTTTTTTATAAATCATCATTCTCAGTCCTGATCCGGCTCCTATTGAAATCCATGGCAAAACTCCCATTGGCATCCTTGGGAGCAGGAGCAGGCTCCGTGCCTATTAATCTTTTGTCTACACATGTAGTAGAAGTGTGGAAAAGGGAAATTCATGAGCAGGCGTGAGCATGTGCTCTAGTCCAGCGGTTCTCAAGCTGTTTGGTCGCAATACCCCATTTTAATGGAGTCGTCAGGGCTGGTGTTAGACTTGCTGGGGTCTGGGGCCAAAGCCCAAGCCCCAGCATCTGGGGCCAAAGCTGAAGACTGAGGGCTTCAGCCCTGGGTGGCGGGGGCTTAGGTTACAGGCCCCCTGCCTGTAAGCTGAAGCCCCGGGTTTTGGTCCCTCCACCCCCACCATGGGGCGGCAGGGCTCAGACTTTGGCCCTCCCACCCAGGGCCGGGGGGGGCTTGGGCAGGGGCTTTGGTCCCCCCTCCTGGGGTCATGTAGTAATTTTTGTTGTCAGAAGTGGGTTGCGGTGCAATGAAGTTTGAGAACCCCTGCTCTAGTCCAAGTATTGAAAGTAAGGGGAAATAATTTATAGAAACCAAAAGATCAAGCAACAGCAGATTTTCACTAGGCTTATTGAAGTTTTAAATATAGCTTTATGAGTGACTGAAAGATTTTACTGATGAAAATCTTTTGAGCGTAAAGGGAAAATTTGCCACTGGCTTAGTCCATTATGAATGAAAAGCACAAGCATGGGAATCAGGGCATCTCTAGAGAGCAGGAGATGTAACCTCATGCAAGTCACTTAATCTCTGTGCCTTGGTCTCACCATAAAATGAGGGTAATTACCCTTTCCTACCTCATAGAATATTGAGAAGTTTAATCAATTAGCACTTTTGGATCCTCTGATGGCAGACACAACAGAAATGCAAAGAGACTGGGAGTGGAATTGTTGATATTTCCAGCTTGTCAGCCTCTGAGACAATAAGGCTGTAGCTATGCCACTATAATCCCGTAAACACACTATCATACAGAAGAGGTTTTTCCATTGCTGTAGGAACTCCATCTCCCCAAGTGAAGATAGCTTAGTCAATAGAAGCTGTGTCTACACCAGGGTTTAGGTCGGCGTAGCCACGGTGTTCGGGGTGGGCTGGGGGCGTTGGTGGATTTTTCAACCTAAGACTATGCCAACCTAAGGCTTGGTCTACACTAAACCCCCAAATCGAAGTAAGGTA